TGTTACACACATACTCGATCGGGTACCATGTATATACCCGATCGAGTACCCGAATCCCATCCCAAAAACCTATAAATACACCTCCTTTCCTTCACAAAAATATATCCAATCCCTTGTACATCTAAGCTCAGTATAGAATAGCTCTTTCTTTATATTTTTCATCATGTTTAGTCTCCAAATGAGGAGCTAAACTCTTCCATCTTGGTTTTGCTACTTTGAAGCTTAATGAATTTGTAAGTTGTGAGTTATTTTCTTTAATCTTCTTCCTTGAATATTAATTCTTTCTTTCAAAATACTATCTCTATATCAAAGTTGGGGAGTGTTACTAAGATGACAATTAGTTAACATCTTGACATTGGTTATAGTAATAGCTATTTTTTCCTCTATGATTATATTGGGGAGTGTTGCTAAGATGACAATTAGTTAACATCTTGATATTAATCATAGTAGGATTCATATATTTTAATATTCTTCCTTGAGTATTGATTAATTCCTATTCATATTTCATGTTAATATCTTAAACATTACTTAAAGTATCAGCTAGTATTGTTTCTCATATTAATTATTACTAGAATCAATCGGTTAATACGCTTGTTATTAATCCGGTTCTTTCAACGGTAGTAAACTTGGAATATTAATGCATGCATCTCATGGTTAATATGCCAAGGGGAATTAATTATATTGATTAAACCAATAAACCGCTTGTGTTGAGGTTATCAATCTCAATCGTTTTCATCTTAAGTTTATTGCTACTATCAAGTTAATATACGGCGCTTGTTCTATATTGACTCGATAGTAAGTTTTATTAATGAACGCATCTCGTTATTAATAACTACCCTCGATGAACTGGATATACTCCTCGATTTAGTATTCGAGAGGAAGATAGTTAAAGATATAACCGGGATCGACGAACATTTCATTAAGTGGATAAAAGCAAAACCAAGTCCCCATCTCATTGAATTAAACTCATATAGGTCGTTTATCTTAGTGTTATTAAACCAAACAAATCTAAACCCCCCTTGTTATTATTTATATAAAAGAAAAGTATTCCTTTCCCTGTGGATACGAACCTTACTACAATATACTACGTATTAGTGTTGTATTGATTAATTATTTTGAGTGCACCTAACGACGAGTGCACGTCAATACTTTAAGTAATGTTTAAAATATTAACATGAAATATGAATAGGAATTAATTAATACTCAAGGAAGAATATTAAAGAATATGAATCCTACTATGATTAATATCAAGATGTTAACTAATTGTCATCGTAGTAACACTCTCCAATATTAACATAGAGGAAGAAATAGCTATTACTATAACCAATGTCAAGATGTTAACTAATTGTCATCTTAGTAACACTCCCCAACTTTGATATAGAAATAGTATTTTAAAGGAAGAATTAATATTCAAGGAAGAAGATTAAAGAAAATAACTCACAACTTACAAATTCATTAAGCTTCAAAGTAGCAAAACCAAGATGGAAGAGTTTAGCTCCTCATTTGGAGACTAAACATGATGAAAAATATAAAGAAAGAACTATTCTATACTGAGATTAGAAGTATGGAAGAAGGGATGATGAAAAGTGAAGGAAAATGGGGTTATTTATAGGTGTTTTCAACACCTAATGCCGGATACCCGGCCGGGTATTTTGACATACCCGACCGGGTATTTACCAAATCAAATATTTTCCCATGTTTTTGTGTCTTCTGCACGTTCTTTGGTCCGAAATCACTTCATACCCGACCGGGTATATGGAATACCCGACCGGGTATTTGCTAGTTTTGCAGCAATTTCCTTTGTCACTTCATACCCGGTTGGGTAAAGTTCATACCCGACCGGGTTTTGCACAAAACTCAGGTTTCTTCATTCTTTTTGCTTCCAAACCTATCCTAAACTTATAGCCAAACTAACTACAACTTACAACAAACAATAAAATGCTAGAAATACGATTACAATCAAATGCAAACTAACAACTATAAACTTGCACAAAACTAGTAAATAAACATTACAAAAAATAATAAAAATGTATACTTAGGCACTAACAACTAGTGCCTATCAAACACCCCCACACTTGAACCTTTACTCGTCTCGAGTAAATTAAAACATGTCCATGAAATTTTCAAAAACCACAAGAGTAGCAGAACAAACATCCAACATTCTCTTCTTCTTTTTTTTTTTGATTATCTTCTTGCATAAATAGATATTTTTCTCTCATTCTCTCATTTTGCCTAGGAGCTTTTTTCAGGTTTTCATCCTAGCCTCTCTTTTTATTTTTTTGTTTCTCACAACTCACTCATTTTAGCCACTTTTGCTTAGATTGCCCTTTTTTTGGGGGTTTTCAACCTAATTAGCATTTTTTTCTTTTATTGTTTTTTTTTTGTTATTTTTTTTGAAGAAAAATAATGCAAGTTACAATGTTAAAAAATGAGTACATACCAAATGAGTGCCTCCCCTACACTTTTTTCGAAACACTGTCCCTAGTTTTCGGCACCATGATCGTCGCCGTACCCTCTATAACCACCATCGCCACACAGACTATGTTCACCGGAGCTAGAAATTCCCAATCGCCCTAATATGAGGGATAAAACCACGTCGGTTGTTGTACTAGGTGGGCATGTTGGAGAAGTACCCTTGGTGGTCGAAGATATGTGTTCTTTTTGGTGCTTTTTTCGTTTTTTTAGTGAATTCCAAAGTTGAGCTTGGGGGGTTAAGGAATTCGGTTTGTAGGGTATTTTGGAAATTTGGTGGGTTTTGTGTGTGTGGGTTTGGAAAGTAGGGCGAGGAGAAAAAAATGACATTTTGTTTTGGAGGTTTTGTGGTTGGAGAGGATGATGTGGATAAGAAGAATGTGGGGTTAATTTGGATGTTTTGGTTGAGATTGGAGTGGTTTGAAGTGTGGATGATTGTCAATGGAGGTTGAGGGTTTGAGTTTGGGAGATTAGGGAAGAGATTGGGTGTTTTGTGGGCTGATTTGGGACCAAATCGGACTGAAATCCCGATTACCCGGCCGGGTTTTAGTAATACCCGAATGGGTATGCTGTTTTTTCGCTTGGCAATGGCTGTTTTGGCCAAAAACCCGGTCGGGTTTTGTAATACCCGGTCGGGTATTAGGCTATTTTTTGATTTTTTTCCAGCTTTTTTACCCGGTGGCTGTGTTGCCCGGGTATAATCCTTTTGTGCTGTTACCCGACCTGGTGTGGGATATACCCGGGCGGGTTTTTCCTCCCAGATTTTTTTTTGAAAGGTGTAAAGATAAAATAAAACAAGTAAACGTACCTGGCTTGGGTTGCCTCCCAAGAGGCGCCTTATTTAACGTCGCGGCACGACGCCATCATTGTGTTCAGTCATTCAAACTTGGATCATGATAGTTTATCTTTTTCACACTTTCACTCCTAGGACGTTCATAGGAGTGCTCAACTTCTCGACTCTTCAATTTGGGAATCTTTCCAGGATCAAATATCCAGATTGTCATTGATTCATGCGGTGGGAGGAAAGGGAAGAAATTATCGTTTACTATGGTCAATGAAAAGTTTTTCGATCCCTCAATTTTGAAGAGGATTTCAGAAATGTCATTGTCCTTTCCAAGTTTATGAGTTTCCCTCAAAATTTTTAGAATTGATGGGGGTACCTCAAAAGATGACAAGGATAGATATTTAACCTTGAAGCTCAAATTATCCTCTTCTTTGATCAGTTGGAGCTCTGTGTCTTTTTCTTCCTCTACTTCTTCTGGATTCTGGATCCCCTTTTGCATTTCCTCTTCATTTGTCAATGTGATTGCAAAAGTTTGCTGTTTAGGATCACATTCTAGTTGAGAAGGAGGTTTTTCTGAATCCCTTGCTTCAAGCCTACTCACGACTCCGGCTATTTGACTCATTTGAGTTTCCAAGTTCAAAATGCTAGACTTGGTCTCTTTTTGGAATTGCACCATGTTTTGTTGCATGGCGGTCACACTGTTAGTAAGAGCCCGAACCATGTCCTCCGTGGACATATTAGAGTTGGAGAATGGATCATACCTCATGTGAGGTACATCATCAATTTGTGCAAGGTATTCTTCTTGGAGCTTTGGGCAGAAGTCCGTAAGATGCCTGTGAGACATGCAAATGTTGCATGTCTTGGCATCTTGAGCTTTTGAGTTAAAGATAGATTCCTTTATTAGAGAAGTCAAGAAGGAAATTTGACTCTCTAAGGATGAAGTGTTGGTATCCATATACTCATAACTCATGTAACCTCAGAAAATAGAAGAGCAAGATTTATATATATATATATATATATATATATATATATATATATATATGTATATGTTTTGTTTTTTATTTTTATGAGATAAAATAAAAAGAAAAGCAATTGCCTTTCCCCGGCAATGGCGCCAAATTTGACGTGCACTTGTCGTGAGGTGCACTCAAAATAATTACAATACAACACTAATACGTAGTATAGTGAAGTAAGGTTCGTATCCACAGGGAAAGGAATACTTTTCTTCTATATAAGTAGTAACAAGGGGGGTTTAGATTTGTTTGATTTAAAAACACTAAGATGAACAACCTATATGAGTTTAATTAATAGATGTGGAGGATTGGTTTTGCTTTTATCCACTTAATGAAATGTTTGTCGATCCCGGTTATATCTTTAACTATCTTCCTCTCGAATACTCAATCGAGGAGTATATCCAGTTCATCGAGGGTAGTTATTAATAACGAGATGCGTTCATTAATAAAACTTACTATCGAGTCAATATAGAACAAGCGCCGTATATTAACTTGATAGTAGCAATAAACTTAAGATCAAAACGATTGAGATTGATAACCTCAACTGATGGGGTTATGGGACTAGGTCCAGAGCCTAATCGGCCCAGGCCCCGGACTTGGACCAGCAGGCCCAAGCCTAGTGATCCAGAGCTCATTCCGACCCAACCGTTAGGCCCATCAAAGAGTGAAAGCCCAGGGCGGCCTGCCGTCCAGCCCAGCAGGGAGCCTGCCTACCAGCCCAGTCAGCAGCCTGCCTTCCAGCCTACCCGGGAGCCTGCCTTCCAGCCCAGCAGAGAGCCTGTCTTCCAGCCCAGTGGGGAGCCTGCCTTCCAGCCCAGTGGGGAGCCTGCCTTCCAGCCTAGCCAGGAGCCTACCGACCACCAGCCCGCTGGGAGCCTGCGATCCAGCCCAACTGGGAGCCCGCGGTCCAGCCCAGGTGGGAGCCTGCCTCCAGCCCATCGGGGAGCCTGCCTTCCAGCCTACCCGGGAGCCTGCCTTCCAGCCTACCCGGGAGCCTGCCTCCAGCCCGGTGAGAAGCCTTCCTCCAGCCTAGCGGGAAGCCCACCGTCCAGTCCAGCAGGAGGGAGCTCAAGCGTCCAGCCTGCCAGCCAGGCTGACCTGCCAGCCAGGAAGAGTAACGGCCAACAATCAATGCGCTACTTAATTATGTGTTTAATTCTGTATTAATGTTGTAATTAATTTAGTCATTATTATGTTCGGCAGTTACCATTTGTAATCGCCTATAAAAGGCAATTCGAATTTCAAATACAGATATGCTAGTTCTGGCTAACTTTCCATATTCGTACTTTCCTAATTCTTGCTTGAGTGTCGTACGTAGCTTTCCTAAAAGCCTACGAGCGTCCTATTTTGGACCAACATTGGTGCTTTCATTGAGAGCCTCTATTGTCTCTCACATAACTTGAGTAGGAATCACACAGGAAGATGGCTGGAATCTCGTCTCGACGTGACCATGTCTCAGTCCACACTGAGGAGTCCGCCCGGTCTGGCCGCCAGCGTTCCCTCGACAACCATGCACAGGGCAGGAGGGCGGCGCGCCAAGGCGACCTTCGGAACCAATTATCAGGCCACGGCGACCTAAGGGCGACGCTCAACCACACTCAAGGTGAGCGCTCGGTCCGCAGCCGGCGGGGGGGGAGGCCGACGTCATGCTCCGCGCATGGACCCGGCTCGACTCAATGCCGGGGTGGAAGCCCTGCAGGAGGCATTTCGGGTTCTGGGGACCTTGGCTCAAAATTTCCAACAGATGGTGTCTGGCGGAAATGTGGATGAGCCTGCCCGTCGACAGACGCCAGCGGATGTGGAGGTGTTCTCCAGGCGGCGTGATGAGCGTTACTCTGGATCCAACCAAAACAGGGGGGAAGAAGTCTCCCATCGGCGGGGGGAAGAAGTCTCTCAGCAGCCTAGCCGACCCCATCGGCAGACGGGGAGGGGCGCCCAGCAGGGGCGCCCAACGCAGATGGAAGGAGGCGAGCCCTCTCGCCACTCTCACCGGGCGAGCCGTCGGACTGGCTCCACGGAGAGGAAAAACGTGGGGCCCCGACCTCACGTGCACGGACGACTTGGAGGTGCCGCCGGACATGCCCAGCCCCGCGCTGGAGCTGTCCGGGGGAACCCACCGCCGACCGAGGTGGAAGATCTACGACAACGCCTTGACGAGTTGAGAAGGAGGGTTGTCGGGGGGGAGCCTTACACGGCCGACCTCCGGATACCCGAACCCTTCACCCGGGCGGTCATGGATGCGCCGTTGCCGAGGGGCTACAAGCCTTGCGCCATTGAAGCATACAAGGGTGCTTCGGACCCCCAGCATCATGTATCTCGGTCCTTTCCTACATGGTCATGATGGGGTACGAGGACGCAATCCGATGCCGCGGTTTCTCCGCCACTTTGGATGGCCCGGCTCGTGAATGGTATGACTCTCTACCCGACGGGAGTATCACGAATTTCCGTGAGTTGGCTCAGCGCTTTCTCTTGAGGTTCGCGAGCTCCCGAGACGTCAAGAAAAACTTCAGCCACCTGTTCAGCCTAAAACAGGGGAAGAAGGAATCATTGTCGACCTTCCTAGCGAGGTGGAGGGCCGAGTCAGTCAAGGTTCAGGGCCTTGATGACAGGACCGGGGTGGCCATGCTCACAAACTCTATCCGATCGGGCGAGCTTTACAAAGATTTCGTCAGAAGTCCCCCTACCTCGTACGAGGAGGCGCTCGGCCGTGCCGACCGGCAAGCCGAGGCGGAGGACGCCTTGCAGAGGAAAAGAGATGAGGAAGAAGGTGCAAAAGAAGAAAAGAAGAAAGAAGCCGGTTCGGGTGCTGAGAAAGCTGACGGCAAAGCTAGCAACAAAAACAACAAATACAAAGGTAACAAAAGTAGAGGCAAGGGCAAGGCGGACGTCCCGAGCGGACCGCTACAGCCCGTCAAGCAATTGACTCCACTTGCTCAGCCGGTCGGGGCCATCCTCGACTACGCGGAGGAGCAAGGTTTAGTCGACTTTCCTGAGGAGTGTGATGTGGTGACTGCCAAGCGCAACCACGACCAATATTGTCGATTCCATCGGAGAGCAGGGCATGATACAGATGATTGCGTCATTCTCCGGCGGCAAATTGAAGAACTCATCCAGAAAGGGTACCTGGGCCAATTCGTTGGCAAACAAGGAGGCATCCCGCAGAAGAGGAGCATGACGTGGCAGCGGTCCGACCAAGCTACCACGTCAAAGGAGACACCCCCTGCCAAGAAGCGGGAGCTCGGCGCCTTCTCCGAGGAAGACGATGCCGACCTAGGGAACGACCCCCGGAAGTACCATCGATGTTCATTCATATTCGGGGGACCCCAGGGAGGCGACACCTCTGGAGAGCGGAAGCAGTGGGCTCGAGCCCTATACGTCGGGGAGATAACCAGGGCTCCCGCCGACAAGAGGGTGAAGAGGGACCCCATCTTCTTCACCGACGCAGATTTGCCACCGATGCCTCCGCCGCACAGGGATGCCTTGGTCATCAAGGTCGAAATCAACAACACGATCGTCCACTGAGTCCTGGTGGACAATGGGAGCTCCGTTAACATCATGTACTATGACACCTTCCAAGGTCTCGGGCTGGACCGAAAAGACTTGATCCCGGTGAGAACCCCACTCTCAGGCTTCACCGGGGACTCCATTGAGTCGGAGGGCAGCATAGTCCTCCCTGTGATGGTGGGCTCCGAGCCCTGCGTATCCAAGTTAGACGTCGAGTTTATCGTCGTACGCCTAACTTGTGCGCATAAGATCATCATGGGAAGGCCGGCCCTGGAAGACCTCAGATGTGTGATATCCCAGGAGCACCTATGCATGAAGTTTCCCACTCCGGATGGCGTCGGAGTCGCCAGGGGAGATCAGCGAATGGCGAGGAGCTGCTATCTGAAAGCTTGCAAACAAATCGGTCAAAAAGACTTGAGGATCCACACTATCAACAGCAAAGCCATGAAGTATGAGGAGGGTCAGCTCCGCGCTGAACCCACCTCAGACGTGGAGGAGATCCAGATTGACCCTGAGAGGCCGGAGCGGAAGGTCAAGATCGGGACCGGGCTCCCGGTCCGCTTGAGGGAGAAGATTATCCAGGTACTTGTCCTTTTTAGCGTTGTCTTCGCGTGGGGACCGGAGGACATGCCTGGACTTGACCGAAGCATCGCTGTCCACCGGCTGGCGGTCAATCCAACGACGAAGCCCATCCAGCAGAAAAGAAGACACCTCTCAACCGAGAGGAGGGAATTCGTGAAGAAGGAGGTCAACATGCTCCTGAGTATCAAGCATATCCGGGAGGTCTTGTACCCGGTTTGGCTGGCAAACGTTGTCCTGGCCCCGAAGCCGCCAACCTGGAGGATGTGTGTTGATTACACCGATCTCAACAAGGCATGTCCGATGGATCCATTCCCATTGCCTAACATCGACCAACTAGTCGATGGGACGGCCGGATGTGAGCTCCTTAGCTTCATGGACGCTTTTCGAGGATACCATCAGATTTTCATGCACGAAGAAGATGCGGAGAAGACCTCGTTCGTCACCCCAGAGGGGATTTTTTGTTATCTTGTCATGGCCTTCGGGCTAAAGAACTCTGGGGCGACGTACACGAGGATGGTGGCCAAGGTATTCCGGAAGGTGCTCGGAAGGAACATGGAGGCGTATGTTGACGACATGATCGTCAAGAGCACCCGGGCGTCCGATCATGCAGATGATTTGGCAGAGATCTTCGGGATCATGAAGGCAGTCCGTCTGCGCCTGAATCCGAAGAAATGTACCTTTGCCGTCCAAGGAGGCAAGTTCCTGGGGTACATGGTCACACGGAGGGGGATTGAGCCAAATCCTGAGAAGGTAAGGGCAATACTTGACATGGAACCCCCGAGGTCAGTGAAAGAAGTCCAGATTCTCACCGGCCGTCTAGCAGCCCTCGGACGCTTCATGTCCAAGTCCGCCGAGAAGTCCCTACCCTTCTTCCAGGTCCTAAAGAAACAAAATGGTTTCGTATGGAATGATGAGTGTCAGCGAGCCTTCGACGACCTGAAGAAGTACCTCCTCTCTGAGCCTTTACTTAGCAAGCCGGAGAGGGGGGAGACGCTAATCCTTTATCTTGGGGTTTCCCAAGGTGCAATCAGTTCCGTGCTGGTTCGCGAGGAGGAAGGCGTTCAGCGTCCCGTCTACTATGTGAGCAAGACCCTCCAGAATGCTGAGCTCAGGTACACCCCGCTCGAGAAGACAATATATGCCGCCTACATCACCGCCAAGAAGTTGACACACTACTTCCAAGCGCACCCGATCAGAATCCTGTCGGACCAACCCCTAGGTGCCGCTCTGAGGGCGCCCGGCACAACCCGGGTAGTGAAGTGGTCGATGCTCCTCAACCAATACGAGGTTGACTTCCAGCCTCGGACGTCCATCAAAGGCCAGGCTCTGGCTGATTTCATTGTGGAATGCACGGCCCGAGAAGTAGCAGATATGCAACAAGAGAGCAATGAACAATGGTGGACTCTAGCGACTGATGGGTCGGCAGGAGCCAAGGGATGCGGGGGCGGAATCATCCTCATCTCACCCGAGGGATTCCGAGCCTACTATGCCTACCGCTATCTTTTCAAAGTCTCCAACAATGAGGTGGAGTACGAGGCCCTACTTTCTGGGCTACGATTGGCAGCCGCCATGGGAGCAGAGTGGATAACGGTGAAATGTGACTCCCGCCTGGTGGTTTCCCAGGTCAAAGGTGAGTTCGAAGCGAAGGAAGAAAGAATGATGAAGTATCGAGATGTTGTTCGGGAGTTGCTCGGGTTGTTCAAGCAAGCAGAGTTGATCTGCATCCCGAGAAATCAAAACTCCGATGCAGACCTCCTCTCAAAGCTATCCCAAGGGTTACCTGAACATATATCGAGAATTGCACGCATTGAGGAGATGACGACCTCAAGCATATCAGCCTCACCGTCCATTGACGTCCTTCCCCTGCAACCAGTCGCCTGGTGTTGGGTGGATGACCTCCTGCGCTACATAGCCGACGGGACGCTCCCCGATAAAGAGGAGGAGGCAAGGTTAGTCCGGCGACGAGCTCCGGGCTACGTCGTCTTGGATGGGAAGCTGTACAAGAGGTCCTACAATGGGACCTTGCTAAAGTGTTTACGCCCACATGAGGCGGAAATGATCGTCTCTGA